CTAGACTGCACTGACTGAATTATCAGCAGGCTAATGTGAGCTGTTTGTTCATATCTTGGGACATTTGTAATGCCTGAAAACTAACAATGAAAACAGTAAAGAGTATATGGGAGAAACCTTCAACCATGATATGAATGTCGACGTTACATCGTTTGTCCACCAGAGGGCACATGATTTCCTTCTTGTTAACACATGTTTGGAATACCACATAGTCAGGCGGAGTGTAAAAAAACAAATTTCACATTCAACTTGATTCTGAAAAATGCACGACACAAATTTTTTTGCTTCGATTCTTCGTTTAAACTTTGTCGTCGCCATGTAAACGCGTACGTTTCACCCACATTTACTCTTAAAGCAGACGCCTGGAAGCACGCCAGTGAGTAAAAAGTTCCCGGGCAGGCCTCGGTGTTTACACAAAAAGACTGAGAGCACAACAGCAGCAATGATGACGATGTTGTCATAATTTAACATGGAGCCAGAAATTATGTTCCCCATTTAATGTGAAATGATACAAAATTTGATTTTAGCTAATATCTAATAATATTTAAAAAATTAAATAAAGGTTGGACTCATTCATTTCATTATTATTATAACCTTAATTAAAATTTACATCATCAGAATGTTATTCAGTGTGTAACCACCACATGGTCCTTTAAAGGCTTACAAAAACACACTCGTTCACTAGCACACAGTAAAATACTATCAGAACTATTTTTGCCTCCCGTTAACGTCTAAAGCCTTCCAAGAAGACAGAGTAAAGGTAATGTTTTTGTGTCTTAGTTGAGATTGCCTACTTTATTGTATTTGAAACTAATGTAATTAATATTCTATACTTATTTTTGAACGTTTTTATTTTTATTTCAAAATGGCATGCACAATGCTGTATGCGGTTTAAGACATTGCAATGTCTAGAAAGGAAATCAATGAGCAGTTAATTTTAAAAGACCTGCAATTTTTCTCTTTTGAACATTTATTATGGCACATTAATAAAGCAAAACTCAACATTACTCAGTTGATGGAAGAATCAATAGAATTAAAATAATCTTAAAAATCCTACGTTGTTCCAGCTCTAAAGCTAAAGCTTCAGTGACAGCATTTGGCCACCACTATGTTGTTGTTGTTCTTGTGTGTGTGTGTGTGTGTGTGTGTGTGTGTGTGTGTGTGCGTGTGTGTGTGTGTGTGTGTGTGTGTGTGCGTGCGTGCGTGCGTGTGTGTGTGTGTGTTTTTACAAGTCAGAACTGACCACATGTGAAGGAGTGGAGTTGTCAGCTGTCATGTGTTGTGGAGAAAAACCACAGGCAGCTAATGATACCAGGCCTGGTCAGGAAGCTGCATGCATGAAAGCTTTAACAAAATCCAAATGTGTCAATTATTTTAAAATAATCCCCCATTTTTAAACCATTTTTTGTATTGGGATGTAATTATACTTATTAGTGCAAGCTATTGGGAGTCTATGGGCCAGTTTCAAATGATCCATCAGGAAATGAAGTTTTTGGCACTGCGCCTTGGTTGTTCAGCCCTAGAGACCTTTGGCATTAAAAAAACAAAGAACACAAGGGCCCAAAGAGCAGTAAATCCAGCCTTTTACAGACAGTCCTCATCCACAGATGTGAATCACTGACTTCTATTGCCACAAGAAGCAGTAATCCACAATAAACACTTAATTGCATCACCTGCTTTCTAATTAACACCCGTACTCCTCGCGTGTTCTCATCGTCGTCCTCTACAAACCCACGAGCTGCACTACAGTGTCCGAGAGGCAGCAGAGCATTACCCTCTGAAGCTATACAGCGATGACACCGGAGTGTGTATGTGTCAGCTCTCCTGGGGACTGGCCCACTTTCCCTTAGCACAGATTGGAGGTGAGACCTTGAAGAAAAATTATTACTTTTATGTTTGCTTTATGGCTCATTTTTCACATTAAACGCAGAAAATCTATTCAGAGGTCACAGAATTCCTGCTTCTCTTCACGAGCCAGAACTAATTTTTGCAGCCCTCGGTATCGATAAAGCATTCAGCGGAGCAAAGTATGCAGGCTATGTACTGCCGCTCTCAAGTCTCTATTTTCCACCAGCCAGTCTATTGGGACTTGTTCAGGCCGTATCTGCTGGGTGGCGGGTCGGTAGGGGGGGGTTCTGGAAATGTCAACCGCACACGTGCACGGAGAGAGCGCGAGCCCAGCCGCCGTGGTGTCAGTGCGCCCTTATCTGTGAGTGGTGCAGCCAATAGGACTTGTGATAAGAGATAGCATTGCCAGATCGAGTCATAAAACCCCAGCTTTTATGGCGCGGTTATTGTCTTTCTGTCTACAATTATAGTGATTACTCATTTCCCCCTTACCTCCCCCTGCGGACCTCATGGTGCACTTAATAGACTGCATTTTACTAATGGAAAATTAAGTAGCCGCTGTGGCAGTGGGGTTTATAAATATGTAAAATATACTTTTAATTATTTCAAGTGAATCTGGCAGCTAATCAATAAAGAGGGACGTGACAAACATACGTTTGACACAGGCCATTGTAAAGCTACTGGTAAAAGATAAGCATGGCCTGTCAGCGCAGTCCAGCCCTAATGAATATTTTGAGCCTGTCATGTAAAGAGACAAATGGATTAATTGCGCCCTGCTAATATAATAGCTTCTTCATGGAGAGTGCGGGAGAGAGGCAGGCAGGCAGAGGAGAGGAGAGGGAGCCCAGCAGCTGCTGCTGGGATCTGAACCCCAGTGTCAGATGAATATTTATTAGGGTTGAGGGTTAAGTAGATTTTTGCGATTACACGGATAGCCACTTAAGCATAGTTGTTTATAATTTATTTGATAATTGATTCATGCGGGTTTGTTTGATGTCATATTAATTTTATATCTGGTAGTCACAGGTGCTGGGGGCAAGTGGAGGTATCAGCTTCAGCTTTTGTTTTTTTTAAAGAAAATAAAGTTTAGATTATTATTATTATAAAATCTTTATTATAAAGTTTATTTTTTACTTTTATGTTTGGATGAGCTCCACAAAATGATTAATTACTAATTATTTATTTAACCTTTTAACACCAAGTGTGTCGTATTTGAGTTTTTGTGAGGTTTTGGGACCTCTACCACATCAATGTGTGTGTGTTTTTCCTGAAAAACAAAAATGCCAAATGTAGCAAAAATGATACAAATGGAAACACATATATGCACATTTATAATTTTCTTTTTTAACTTGTCAGAAGTTTAAAAAAAATCTAATTTTCTAATAATTATTTTTGGTTCAGGCTTCAAAATCAGAGACGCTGCCCATCACCGTTCCCCTGAAATAATTAAGTTTTGGGTTTTTTAATAAAATATTATAGTAGAAAATGCTCTGCTTGAACAGATGACGAACACGAGTCTATTTTATTCAGTTTTGCCTGGTAACAAAGTTACACCCTGAATGACTTGCTAACATTTTTGTCTATTAATTTTCAGTTAATCTAGCAGTAAGAGGCACTTTGACCTGGTGGTAAATAGAACAAAAAATGCAGCTGCAAATTAATTTGTAATAAAAATAAAAAAGGAAAATTCCTCTTCTTTTGTAAAAGGAAATATATCACAATAATACGGCATAATGGTCTTTTCACTCCTCTACTCTGTGAAATATTCACACAAACAGCAGCAGTTAGCATAGTGGCACCATTTTGACAAATGGCACCTTTATGCCTCCCTGGCCCTGCTTTCCTATCCATCTCTGTGTCCAGGCCCGTTGTTGGCACTTTAAGGTGAAAGAGAACATAAAGACAAGTGAGCACAAATAAGTGTAGGGGGGCCTTCCTGGAAGCTGTCCTCTCGCAATGGGAAGCTGCGACCTTGAGTCCTGCCTTCGCCCAACGCTGTCCCCTCTCATATGCACCCCCCACCCCCTCCTCCTTTTTGCCTCCGTCTGAGCAGGAGAGGGATTGACGGGAGGGAGGGGAGCGCGGCGACGGCAGTGGTTCGGGTCACCAAGCGCGGTTCTCATCAATTAAATGTGCGACAGTGTTTTCTGTCGGCTGAACTTATATGTCAAGGAGATGGGCAGGACCTCGTGTTTGTGCTTTTGACAAATCAGCAAATGTTTAATCTCAAGATGTGCTGGGCGCTCATAAATAATGCAGAGGCCAGGCCGGGCCCGAACTCTCTCCCAGCGTGTTGGAAAGAGTGCGGAAAAAACGGGAAAAGATCATGCATTGACCCCCCCCCTTGCTTCTAAATTCTTCTTCTTCCTTCCGTCACATCCACCATTACTCATCTATCATTTCCTGTACATTCGCTCTTATCTTTCTCACTCTTTTGCAATAGTTTTCTCCCTCTACTCACTTACGTTTTAATCTGGTTGCTCTGGTCTTCATAGCTGAAGCTCCGCTCCGCTCTCTGGCTCTGTTTTGAAGGAAAAGGAGACTCGGAATTATCCTAAATCAAAGGTCTGCTATCTCAAAGACACAGGGGATTGAGCTCGAGCTTTGCCTCGATTTGCCCTAAATGTAAAGAGGCCAACAGAAAAGCAGTGTAGCGGACTGTGAACCGCATCAAATCCCCCTCTGCACCACTCTCACTTCTTCCCACAGACTTTGATTGGCTCGTCCACCGACTGGGAAAGTTTCCTGATTGTTCACAGGGAAAATTAAGATTTTAAGCCTATTGAAGTTGATCTTTGCTCATTGAAAAGTCCATCTGAATGTGTCCTTTGAAAGCTCAAATTGTTGACTCGTCACGTTAGAAGACTCCAGAATAGGGTGCACAGAGGCCGCGCTGCGAGCGTACTGTACCGAGAGCACGGTGCACCTGTTGTTGTGTAGCCGGATGGGGTGTGTGTAGTGTTTGTGCAGTGTGCTGTGGAGTGTGGAAGATCTGTGCTGGCTTTGCTTTCAGCGCAGTTTATTAGGCATTTTCACATCAGGTCAGTCCTTTAAACACTGACGGTGTGAAAAGCTTTTGAAGGACTTTTAGCTCCTTACAAAACAAAAAGTTGATAAATAAATGTCTTTAAAAAAGTCTTCTTCTCTTGCAGGCTCTTGGAAGTTTATACTTTATCCACGACTCTTTGAAAAACATCCAACAGTTTGATTTCAAAGGTGAGCCTCACCCCACCTCTCTCCATCACATACATCATGACCACTATCCTCTCTTCATTCCCCTTTATCACATTCCTGCATATCACATGCGACCGTTTGCAGGCTATTCCTGCTTCCATCAAAAGCAGTAGGCTGTGATTGGCTTTGAGGATAATGTAAAGGGAGCGGGACAGAATGGTAATGCTTATAAATATTAGGATTTAATTCATACGATTTCGGGCCTACAGTAATGGTGTGCAGCAGGTTATTGGACAGCTATGGCCGTCTCATCAGCCTGCGGTGTCAGAGGGCCCAGGGGGCCGGTGACCACGCTAATTAAAGAGGGGATATAGATGTGGAGCCGCCTCGCTTCCTATTAGACCCAAGTCAGCATTAGCACCAGTTACCCCAGTGAAGGACAGGGCGAAGGAAGGGGAGGGGTCACAAGAGAGAGCAGAGGCGCATTCATGTACCCATGTGCACACACATTAAGATTTGATTTAAAATCACAGCACCGGGCATCTGCAGATGTTTGTACATTAGCAGCTAATCGGGCATAATTTGTTTTAGCAGTCTCCATGTTTTTAAGAGTCAGTTTGCAATTTTAGTTTGAGCACGAAATGCAAATAATAAAATCTTCTGATCTCTGAGCTGGTGGCCTGTCCAGTTGGGCTGGGACTGTTTTAGCCACATGCAAACTTTCAGACAAATTTTCTGAAACTTAGCAGAAGATTTCAAGTGAAGTGTCATACATTTAGGCATTATATTTTTTCTATTAAAATATTTTCCATTAAGGAATTCCAAACAGATTAAAATCCCCCTAACCCTGGGTGGTGTAGAAGTGGAGGGGGGTGAAGAGGAGCCTGTTATTCCCATATCCAGTGCTACGTTTTTATACTTTCACTCTCCTAAAGTTGCCTTGCGTCATAGTAAGGCCTTAACTGGGCTTAGGAGAGGGGTCATCATCATCTGCCTGAAAGAAGTCACTTTAGCTGACTTTAAGTCGCAAACTAAAGATTTTAAACAGCTGTTGTGTGCCTGTGGTGGCCACGAAACCTTCTATGACCCCATACAGAGCCAAGAGTTTTAAAAAACCCTGTGAAACAGAGTATTCAGAGCAGTGTAAAGATTGAATTTCTACATAAACTGACGTTGTTATTGTAAACTTTGACTATTTTTAACATCAACATCTTTTAGTATAAGTGTACACACGGCCTATGACAGAATATAATGAAAATTCAGGGACTGCAGTGTTTTAAATCTACAGCATTTAATCCACTACAGTGATCCAATGATATCAAAGACAGGCATTTACTCACTTTACATCTCAGTCTGTCCTCCTCGTCCGAGTGCAGGCGTTCCTCATTCTGACCAGCAGGTGGGGCAGTTGTCTGATGAAGCTGAAATAGCTTTAAGAATCAGTCTAATTAGAAGATTAAGACTCACACTTCACTCACACAGTGTTAAAAAAAGAACCTTCTGTGGTTGTAACAGTGTGTGTTTTTCTCCCCGTTCTTCTTCCTTCATCACTGTCAACCTCCCTTCCTCTTCAGCCAAGAAATTTAGAAAGGTGGTCGGGAAGGAAACCTGCTCAGAGACACTAGAAAGCACACCCACACTGGAGAAGGCGAAGTTTCCACAGGACTACTTTCCCGAGGTGGGTTTTGTAATAAACACACACGATTGGCTGACAGCCTTTTCCCGAGATGCCGGCTGACAGATGTTTTATTTACAGTGGAAGGTTATGTGTGCTCAAAATGTGTATTTCTTGATGTATTAAATCCCACTTATTGTTATGTACTGTATATACATCAATTTGTTGCATTTTTTATGCATATCCAATACAGACCTGAATATTCATATATTTAGTTTGCTTATTTCCTTTGCAGTTTTTATAGCTTTTTGTTTTTCCAGTCAGATTTTTTGCCCCTACTTCAGGGAAACCCAGTTGACTGATCTAAAGACAAATCAGCACAAAGAATTCAAAGAGAAAAAGTCCTTGTTGTGTTTCCCGTGTCCCGTGGAGCAGTTCCCTGCTCACGCCGCCTGTGTTCAGTTTTCTGGTTTCGATGTGCGGTGCGCCGTCAGACGGGAGCTGGGCGCCGAGCATATCTGTGCTGATATAGTAATAAAGAGCACGACCGCCCGTGTGTCATCCCCGCACTCCCCACTCATCTGTCAACCATGCTCCGACGGCCGCCTCCGCAAATATATGCAAAACAGATGGATACGGCCCCCTTCACACACTTCCCCCCAATTTCCGTCTCTTTCACACACTGCAGGACCCCCCCCTCCAACCCCCTTCAACCCACCCACCTATCTGCCTACCCTTAGCCACCCTAGACACACACACATACTTACATACCTAAACAACATCAGTTTTTTTCTCTCTCCCGTTCCAGAGATGATCTAAAACCAATTACACTGATTGAGGCGCAAAGCCATTTAAAATGATTGCAGCGAAGCATTGTTCTGCATTTAACAGGACAAGCAAAGAAAACCGGCACAACAGAGCTGGCACGGCGTATGCTGAGAAGGATGATGGGAGTGATGTAGAGAGAAAAGAAGTGTGTGTGTATGCATGCGTATGTGCCGTGTAGGTAGGTGTGTGCGTGTGTCTGTGGCGGGGGGGGTGTACAGATGAGAAAAGTTTTGCCTGGTGATTTATGCCTCTTTCCCGGCTGGGATATGAATCTGGGATGATGCTCCAGAGAGCAGCACTCCAGATAATGTTAGCCCATTTAAAAAGAGCAGATTTGTGTAGTCTATCAGGGTCGCAGAGTATTTTTTTTTCTCCCCCCTGTCCCCCCCTCCGTGCCTGCCTCCCTCCTCCGGCCCCTCCGTAGTGAGAAATTGGTTGTTATCATAGATCACAGATACTGCTCAAACCTCTTATGAAAGATGAATTAATTTCACTAATGCTTTAATGCAAAGCTCTCACGAGGGAGGCAGACTGGTGATAACCCCTGCCTCGTCCCCGCTTCCTCCGCTCGTGATTTATGCCCTCTTTTAGTAGATGAAACCGCCTAGATTTGCCATCCATCTGCAGCTTTGAGGAATCCTATTACACGGGGATCTTGGACCGGACAGGACGCCACACACAGGGAGTCCAAAACCAGTTGCTTCGGTCCTTTTTTTTGGGGGGGGGATAACGATAGGTGTGTGTGGAGTAGGTCTTGTGAGAGATGTGGGAGTGCATCATTAAAAGTCATCAAAAAGGACACAGGGGGCAGGTGTCTCGAATCCTCTGGGGAAGGTGTTCGAGTGACAGCACGCCGCTCAGGTTGGCCGCAGAGACAGATGTGCGCTTTCCTCAGCTTGTGGCTTACCTTTACCGTCCCCCATTAATAATGTGTCACAGCTGGTGACATCATGGCGGGAGTGTGGAGTGTTTGTGTTAGTTTAAAGCAAAATGCCATTCATGGCATCCCACCCATGAATCCATCTCTACATTCAGGGTTCTGTGTGAGAGGCACTGCGGCTAGTTTTCTTCCTTTCTTCCAGTCATTAAAGAAAAAAGTTAAAATGACAAAAACATAAAGCAGAAAACAACATATATAAAATTTAATATCATTTTTCATTTTGTATAATTTTTTTGTCACTAATTAATCAACTTACTTCTTCAATCTGATCTACGCCATTATAAAAAAAATAATAAGTAGTAAGTGTGTGAATAAATTATACAATTATATAATAGTTGATCTGTCTCTGATGCTCAGTGCTAGAGGCTTTGATTATACCCTTTTAGAGGGTGTTTATTTTAAGCTGCTTTTGCAGCCATATCATTTTAACACCTTGATGTGATATGCCTGCAGCCCACGTATAGTTTAGCTGGTCCTCAAAAACCTAAGGCATGCAATTTCGATTGCTTTTTATAGAGCTGAAATTGCACAAGCATTTTTACACAAGCAGACCAAGCAGAGCCAATAGCCAGAAAAGTGGCTCAGACCTCACGGAGTTGATATCCAGCCCAACATTGTCTTTCTTTTCCTCGATAATCTTACTTATTACTCACTTAACCTAAATCACGCCCTGCTTTCAGCTCTGAAAGGCATCATAAAGTTCTGAAGTTACTCACTTTCACACTTTCTGTTCGATTCCCATTTAAGTGGCGGCCTCTCCATATGCAAAGCGTCGTTTCTTTCCGTAAATCCCGCCCTGAATTATAGCTGTGTTTGTGCGTTGGGGGGAGTGAAGCGGGGACGTTAATTGAAATGCTGAATAAGAAGGAAGTGGACAAAATTGCGGATGCTATTTCTTCCAAAAGGTCGCGGTGATGGATTTGGCGGCTTGTCCCCCCCCCTCCCCCGTTATTCCGTCAATCTCCTTGCCCCCCTCCCCCCGGTGGGATTCATGTATTTATTTGTGTGGTGCGGTAATACACGCCTCCAAAAACCATTGCATCATAAGGATTTGTCATTGCCTTATATAAATAAAGTATACGACCCAGACCTTAATGTGCCCTTGCTATTGATTGTTTTACACAACAGTAAAGAGAAGGGGGTGAAAAAAAGAGAAAGGATGAAAATAGGCGGCAGGCTGTAGATCAACATCCGTATGAGTTTGTATTTGTTGTTTGGCACCGTGAGCGTGTCCATTAAAGCGCTGACTTTTCATACCCTTTTAGTGCCCCCTGTAGCACGCTGCGATACGGGGCTGCGATTACTTTCAAGTTCTGCCCTCGCTGAAAGTTAACTTGCTTCTCTCCTTATGATTTAAACGCCACGCGTGATTCATAGATGTGATGTGTACGTTAAGGAGATGAAGTCATTTAAACTGGCATTGCCTGTAAAACGCTCTGTGGCATTTATCACCAGACAAGACACCTGTGACACAGATGCTGTTCTCTGTGACAGGCGTGATCCATGAGACTGCAAGGAGCTCATAAACGAGGGGCTAATGCCGAAATGAGAGCCAAATTGAAGCTTTTTTCACTTTTTACATGTTTTTGGGACATAGATAGCAGTGCTTTGCGATCCTGCAAATATTTGGTATCAATCCAATACCAAGTAAATACAGTGCAAGTGTTCCAGACACCGATACTTTTAACCTATAAAGGCAGCTTATGTAGGGGAGAGCAGCGTGTCATGATTCATGAGAAGAATCATCACCAGTTTGCGAAATTCTGAAGACATACTAATGACCAGTAAATCACTGCGATTTGTATTTTTTGCAATAATTAGTTAAAAGAACAAAATGCATCTTCCTGCATTTTTTAAATTTCAGTGTTTTTACTGCTGCATGTGGCGAAAGAGAGCAACTCCCTCTGTAGTTCTGGTGCAGCTTTATCAAAGCATACACACTCGTACACAATGTCTTCATGTACTGTCCTGTCATGTAAACCGGCCCTCTGCCATTGGATACCCCCCACCCCGCGCCGTATGATGGAATACAGATAAATGTGACTGTCTACAGGGGCTCAAATCAATCAGCGTTTGTGTGTATTACTTATTACTCACAGTGCATTTCTGTCATGGGGCTTTTGTGTCACCCCCTCCGCTCTCTGTCCTGCACTCTTCTTTGCCCCGCCTTCTTTCTGAACATAACCCGACATAGTATTATTTACTGGGGGGGCTGAAGTATAAGAAAGGTCAAAAAAATCAAAGGGGACTGACCGGGAAGCAGTGGCAGGAGGGTGTTTTAGGTAGTACTGTGTGTGTGTGTGTGTGTGTGTGTGTGTGTGTGTGTGTGTGTGTGTGTGTGTGTGTGTGTGCTGACTGTGTCACATGTGACATTTTATATCAGCATATTTTTCCATGGTCGTAGTTTTGAGTGAATCCCACACTTTCTCTTCCACCCCCACTGTTTATTTTTTTTTCTGTTCGTGCGTTCGCACAAACAGTTTGTCTGTACTCTGCCGAGCATCCACAGATGTGACCCCCACCCCACCTCTCCCCACCCCACCGTCTTAGCCACCGTTCATCACTGTCACGGGCGGAGACGCCATCGTTGACCTGTGGAAGGTCGGCCAATGTCACCGCGAGCCTCGCGACCTTTTGCGGTCGCCCTTCGACTCCCACTATCAACGTCCCCTTCAGTGACTACAGCAGCCATATCTGATATTTAATATTTTCACATGCGACCTGTTCTGCAAGCATGTCTTTAAAAAAGGGGAAAAAAGAACTCTTAGTAAAACTCTAAAACTTTTAGGAAAAGCATTTTTGTGTTTGTGTGTGTGTGTGGAGGAGAGAGGGAGGCGTGATGATGATGATGATGATGTCTCAGCACATGATTAAATGGGGGCCGGACAGCATCTGTGTCATCATCTCCGCTCCAATATCAGCTGTCGCAGCCAAAGCGTGATGTCATCATGTCAGCCCATAGGCCGAGCACCGTTTTCTTCTTCCGCGCTCTGATTGATTTTGTGAGATAATCACTTCACTCGGACTCCTGCTACAAAAAAATCACTCGTATTGTGTGAAATAAAGAGATGATGATTTTATTATTATTATTATTTTAAACTTTGCAGTGCTGCTTTTAAAGCATGCACTCTGATAGTTGTCTATGTTCGCGCCCTCGTGCGCGTCGTGAGTGTGTTTATAAGCGAGCGATGGAGCAGGGGGTCAATCAGTCATATGTGGAGGAAATGGGGCAATCTGGGGCCGGGTGTCAAGAAAGTGATGGATTTTAATGCTGCGATTGTAGTTAATGGCTCTTTAAATTAAATCGAGATTAAACGTCTCTGGCGGCAGTCAGTGCTCGTACGGGTCCTGAGCAAGTCCACCCTCCACCCCCACCGCCACCGCCACCTCTTGCTCTTCATCTTGTCCCTACTCATCCTCTCATACTCTTAATACTTTCTTTCCTCAACTTTACATTGACAAACATTTGCAGCATGTTAATGGATTTAACGTGCAACAAACTAATGTGTTATTCAGAGTGCATTTTTGTGTGTGACTACATAAGCCTTATTGCTTCTGTTTGCTTCTGTTTATCTTTTTAATATAGTCATTAAGTTCAAAAATATAGGTATATTTTGAAGTGCGAGGCCAATCGGTTTTGCTACAGCATGATCATATCATATCTGTTTACATATGCTCCTCTCAAAGTCACAATTTCGGGGGACAGCAAGTTATAATTGGGTCCATACATCCTGCCAAGGCACTATGGATTAATTCAAGTATGCTAATGTAATTCAATTTGATACAGTTAATCTTATACTAATGCAGATTGAAGGATGTGAGGCGCAATCAAATACCTCTTAGGCTTTTAATTTGCATCTGAGCTTTTTAAATAAAATTAGTCAATTTGTAATTATGTGACCTGGCCCGTAATTAGTTTATTTATCACTGCAGTTAACTCCCCATTAGGGGTATCACACACACAGAGAGAGAGAGAGGCAGGAAAAAAGAGAGAGGTTATGAGAAAGAGGCTTATTTATTCAGAATGAGAACACTCGCAACATCAATTTGTCTCTCATTTAATAACCAGCTTCATGGTGAATCATGTGCTGTTTGAAAAAGATCATGTGCTGTTTGATCATGTGCTGTTTGAGAAAGATGCAGCTGTTTGATCAGATCCCACAAGCCTGATCTGATCAAACAGCTGCACGGTGGATGTCTGCACTGCAGCTGTCACCTGGTGTCTCCCAGCATCTTTTTCCATAGAGCCACTCGCGCCGCCGTTCTCTGGTCGTTCTCACTTAAAATGATGAATCTAGATAGAAACGTATGCTTCGTGTTACTTTCTGCCGCGATGTCTTCTTCACCGTTCGACCAAAAACATCAGCTGGTTAGGATGGTCAAAATCCATTTTTCTGCTTCTTGTAAAAACTTCCTTGACCAGCTCACTCAATAAAAGCCTGTCAGGATCACTGAGTGTTCAGGCTGAGGTGAGCTAGGTTAAAACCCACCTTGAGCTGCCAGCCTCTCAAAGAGCTTTCCTAAATGTAGAAGTTTCAACATTAACTGAGTGTAAAAACAGACTGATAGCATTCCACTTTCTTTCTTTCATGGCGTTGAATGTTTCAGGTTGACTGACCAAGTCCTCCATATTCATAAGAATATTGATGTACAATATAAGTATGAATCTTCATGTGGTTGTTTTTTTTTGGTTAGTTTTAATAAAGCATGTTGAATCTTGTTTGCATTGAACATGCAGTGCTTTGATTTTAATTTTGTAGGCAGTGGATTCTGACTGAAGCCATTTATTCATATTTATTAGGGTTGGGGGAAAAATATAGACAGAATAGACAGAATGCAATATTGTGTCGATAAAGGAACACCAAATATCGATATTTTATTACATAAATTAAAATACTTTGTAAAATACTGAACATTCTGAAATAATGTTAGCCGAGCAAACTTACATTAAAATGACTCAAACAAAAACCATCAAATGCAGAATTCTGGGAGCCAGAATTGTGATATAACATTAATATAACATAAAAGTTATAAATCAGTTTCTAACTTTTATGCAATGTGTTTTTGAGACGGTTCATTTCTTTCTAAGTGAGCAAACTCAAAAATTCAGGATTGAATCAAATCGTAATTTCCTCCACTGTAATTGCCAACTTGACCCCATTCAATCACAGACTGATCTCAGACTGACTCCACCTTTAGTCCTAATGTTTTTCTGAAAATGATTGTTCAAATCTGGAAAAGGTTGCCAAGCAGGTATGAAATGGATTGACTGGTATACACAGGTGAAAGACAATGGCCATTTATTATTGGCTTAATTTAATGTTTTGGCTTGTCAAGCTCTTTTTTCCTGTTTTCTGAATTTTACTTATAACAAAGCATCAATTTGTTTTTATTTGAAAACTGATGATGGAAAACTTAAACACATAAAAAAAGGTATAACTATGGTAACAGTATAGTATATGGTCCCAGTTAAAATGATTCGGAGATCTGGCTAGGATGCCAGATCTCGGGTGAGATGTTCAGGGCATGTCTACAAGGAGAAGGAAAGATCATATCTCTCAGCTGGCCTGGGAACACCTTGCTGTTCTCGGGTGAGCTCGAGGGGGTGGCTGGGGAAAGGGAGGTGCTCAGGCTGTTGCCCCCAGTGACCCAGCCCCGGATTATTGGAAGAGGATGGATGGATGGATGGATGGATGGATGGATGTTCCTTGTGAAATGTAGTGGAGTGTTTGCTACAATACACTTACGTTCCGCCACTGTTCATCCATTAACTCGGATGTTTAAATGTGTACTTATAGAGTCATTAACAGCCCGTTTCCATACAGTAACTTAGGCAGTTTAATTGCCTTAAAAGCTCACAATTCAGGAATTTTTTAATGAAATGTGTCTGTCTGTCCAAATTGAACTGCAGAGTTTCGAGCAGTGCTGAAAAATGCAAACCAGAAATTCTGCTCCCAGATGATGGACATTGCCACTTGACTGTGAAACATTTGACTCTATAGCTTTCATTTGTCTCGTGGTAAATCCTCGCCACTGTCAATTGTCATGCTAAATTGAGTCTCTCTGTTCTGCAGTGCAAGTGGTCCAGAAAGGGATTCATCAGAACTCGATGGGCCATGGCTGACTGGTGAGTTTTATTAATAGGTCCCCACAATGACACATCCCACCTCATCACTGTTCAACCTTGAATCATTACAAGTGTATCGCTGTGATTAGAGATGAATATCTAGCCACGTCAGTCACGTCTGACTTCACCCTCGAGCTGCAGGGAGTCTTGTTCTGTGAGGTTATCATAGACAGCGCACCCAGACGGAGAGAGCGACTCACATAGCCGAATCCTCTCCGGACAGCGCGCTGCAGAAGTAAGCAGGGATTCGATTAGACGTAATCACGTTACTGAAGCAGTTGCGTATGACAGATGACAAAAAACATTACATGCAATTGAACCTGTACTGGATGAATACCATCGCTGCTTCCAGCGTGCAGAGCTAGGGAATGGGGGGAGGAGTAGGTGGCTGAGGGGTGGAAGATGGGGATTGTAATCTAATAGAGGGATGACATGAGAACTAAAGAGCTGAAACGGTAAGCATTTAATAGGAGCGTGACGTTTGACAAGAGCGGCAAAGAGAGAGAGAGGCTGGTGAAGAATGGGAGATCAGATCGGACACAGTCAGAGCTACAGATGTATTCATTTGTTCAGGATGTCACTGCAGAATAAAGCCCGTGGGATAAGATCAATTCCTCTGAGTTGCCCTGCCAAGCCCCATGCTAACAAAAAAACCACCCAGATAGGATCTGCAGGGAGGTGTTCATCGCTGTCTTGTTTTTCTCTGAGAGAACAAAGTGAAAGAAGGCAGATTAGAGTTTGTGGCTGTATTCTTATGCATATGTGTGCTAGAAACATCAGTGATCGCTCACAATGTGACCTTTCTCCATCAGTGCCTTTGATCTGGTCAACATCCACCTTTTCCATGATGCTTCCAACCTTGTGGCCTGGGAGAAAAGCCCATCAGAGTACTCTGGGACCAGGCAGAAGGCACTGGCCTACGTTTTAGACAGGTACAGTAGATGTTGGTCACCAGCTTTTTTACTTTAGTCTTAGATCAAATTCTGCAGATATCAAGGTAGATTTACTCTATTTATAACCCAACATTTCTGTTTCTGTAAAGCAGGAAGACGTATGATATCCACACATTTTTTAGATAATCTGCAAAACAAGTTCCTTCATTATACACGATGTTTACACACTTTATCTGTAAAACTGAGACGGACTACAAAGATTTAAGAAATGTTTTTTTTTAACTAATAAACAACAGAAATTGCATATCTGCATTGAGGTAGCAGCTGATAGTCACAAATCCCATTTCTCTGTTGCATGGCAAAAACCTGTATTGATATTGTAATCAAGGCTTAGACTGAGCAAGAGAGGTGTGGAGAAGGTTTTTGGTGGGATTCAGTCTTAGACCAGTGGGATTACATCTGTCTGTGGAAATAGGGCTTCTCACTATACGGTCTGTGAACTCCCAAGTCTCCTTTATCTGTTCTTTTTTTTGTCCCTCACTCTAAATCTTTCTTACTTTCCAGCATTTTCTGTTATTTTACTTTAGTTTTTGGTAGTGTAATCTTACACTTACCTCTGTTGTTTTTCTACCAGCAGAGAAAATGAAGCAAGCATTTGTCAGTACACCATTTGTGAACACTGCTTTGGTCCTGAGAAATAAATATATAAAATATACTGTGACATGTAATATCATCACTGGCATTACAACAAAAGTCCTGGCTAACTGAACAGAACTGAATATCCCCCCGACACACACATCAAGAGAAAATACCCTTTCCTGCATTTCCTCAAAAGACCACACGAGACTAATCTAGAAGGAGTCATTCTCCATAGACTGCTGTGTTAACTTTAAAGTGTTTAAACATGCCTAATTTTTCACTTGATTAGAACTAATACAATGTACACACTGTACGCTGTATTAAGGCTTAAAGTTATGTATTATTAGGGGCATGGCTGCTTTGAGTGACAGGTGGCATCACCTCTGCTAATCTGAGTCATTGAACTGAATATTTTAGCTGTGTTTGCAGTCTTGGTGACTTTTGGAACATTTTTTGTTTAACTGTCCTTTTTGGTGACTGAATTTATATGATTATTTTACTCATTTGGAACTGATTAGCATGTATTTATGTCTGTGTGATGCTCTAATATAAACTACCCCTTTGCTAACCTATGCTGTTAACATTAGGTTATAATTTAGCAATCTGTCCTGTTGTCAAAATGTAGTCACTGCAAAAAGTAAGATGGCAGCCGTCCATATCGCAGGATAATGCTAACTCACCGTGTCAAAATGAAAGTTAGCAAAGCAGTGGGTTACTCTGTCCATCTTTTAACTACAGACTATGTTGGCCAAACAGGATGTAGTACTTTTAGCTGCTGTCTTTTATTGCTCAGGACCTGCTGGGCAATAAGACAGAGGCACATCTGCAAACTTTCCATTTAACTGGGTTTCAGTTAAATTTAATGTCATTTTTCCTACTGCAGTTGTCTGTGACTGCCTGGCCTTTTGCTGGATGTTCATTTCTATTTCTATACTGGACATCGTATTATATAGCAGGCACATTGCCATGTCATTTATACAATGGTGGCTCTAACACGAGCGAGGCTACGTTAGTTTAACGGTTTTAATTATTCTAGCTGGAGTTTTCATGGTTATGGTACAGGTTTCTACCCTCTGATCTAAGTGAAGTCCGCGTCTGTACAAACAGACTATGATTTCCATTCATAGGCTACGCTAATGTAATTTATGGGACATGCATTTGCAGCACTGTGGGATGATGGAGTGCACAGTGGTAGCCCTGCTCCGTACCTGGCCATGCTAACACAGAATAAAAGGCTAATACCCACCAGGCAGCAGGTGACCTCTCATTCAGCTTGCATAAGAATGCATGACACGCCTCCCCACCTCCTCCACTTTGGATAACTACATGCATAAATATATCGGTGGCATACATTACAAACAGGCTTTCTGATGGGCCTGAATTACGAGGCACTTAATAAATTCTTCTCTGCAAGGTCATATTTTACCTTTACTTCATTTTTGATTTGATGAAAGAATGTGCTGCCTTTAATGGACAGGGAAGTGGCAGTGTTTCAGCAGCTTTTGCAGTTTTTTATTACATCTTAACGCACCTGGATTTACCGACATAATCACGTTTCCAAAGCACCTCTGTTTCTGCTCTGTTGTGTTTGATAGTGTTTCCTCTACTTTCATTGTGCTATTTCCCCCCAGTTGATTTATTTTGAAAGGGCCTCCTGTAAACACACCTAAACAGCAGCGAGAGTCTTAGCTGGGTGGCTGAAGGGATTGAATAGAAACTGTGCTGGCGTGAGTGGCAGTTTCCACGCTCCCTCCTTCTACTTCCCCTTGTGTTGGAGGATGGTAACCTTGTTGTTACTTCTGGGCCATATCATTTAAAGGTTCTTCTTTCGGCAGGGGTGGGGACGAGGGGTGAGTGGTGTGAGGCAAGGTGGTGGTGGTGGTGGTGATGAGGAGGTCGTTATATGTTCCAGCTCCCCTGGTATTCCTTGCTAGCGATACAGGGGTGGGATATTGATGTGGGGGGGCCATCGCGCCTCACTCACTCACTTTAGGGTGAAGCCTTCGGGCGCAGATCCGGAGCACCGGAGTGAGAAAAAGCTAGCAGTGCAGAGGGAAGGGAGGAGGAGCACAAAGGGTGCCTGGGCTCTGTAAAGGGCAGTGAATAATGGGTCGGTCCTTTCACAGAGGCTGCTAACCTTTTGGCAGCCACCAGCAAACTCCATTCTCCTCCGTCGATCTGGGAGGACAATGTGCCCGGGCCGGGCTTTGAATGAAGCGCTACCACCAACAGTGTTCCCATTCAGTGGCTGGTTGGGAACCATCTTTTTGGCTATTGTCCTAACTCTGACTCCTACCCCCAGAAGCGGAGCAGGAAAAGGAACGGGGAATATCTAAAGCCAGAGTTCCCCCTCCCTCTCTCTTCTCTCTCCTCTCTGGGCTCTAATCTCTCATTGCAGGATGGGATAAGATTGGGGAGGGTTGGAGCTGCTGAACACACCACCAGCTGAGATCCTCACAGCAGTCTACACTGGAGCCTGCACGCACGGCAGCGCTGCGGGGACAGAGCTCTGCTGCCGAGCATCAAACTTCAGCCTGCACCTTATCTGGAGCTCATGCCTAATAATGCAGCTTACAGCCCATTGAGAACACATCTGATAAGCCTTTTCCTCTGTGGCCCTTTTAACTGCTAAATAGTGTTTATCTCCAAAGTGCTTCAAGGCCTCGGGGGAACAATGCTGAGAAGGAACAACGTTTAGCCAGCCAGACCTCACTATTGAGTCACATCAGAAAGAAAAAAAGGGGAAAAAAAGCACAGCTCCATAGCCTGGGCTGATGTGAGGGCCGCTTCCATGGGAGAACAGCAAAGGCTCTGCTTGAAACGTACCCTCGCTCCTTTTCCTGCCCTTTGAAAGTGCCCATGTGTGTTCCAAGCTGCATGAAGTGACACTCGGGTACGCTTGATGTGGAAAGTTCATTGTTTCCCATTTATGTTATGGTTGAGTTGTTTGTGTGCGCACAAGCAGTTTTTAAAGAGTAGTTTAACTGGGCATTTTCATAATGTTAAATGAACTCCCATTAGCTGCTAGATTGTACAGATACCAGCTTATTAGCATTTTCCTTCCAAAGACAGGCTGATGTAATGACAGGAACTTCTCTAGAGGGTGGAAATCTTTTCTGCTAAATGACCAATGTGAAATGATAGCATGAGATAAAACCAACAGGGTTTTTTTTTTCATTGCAGTTTAAAAAAAAACTCCTTTGTGTATTGGAGTTTGTTTCTGTTTCCAAGCCCCATTCAGAGTGGCTGGTCCGGTTCAGGGGAGAACAGTTTTACATTACAACTGTGAAATCCAGGCATAAAGGCTTGCTTTGTGGTGCCCTATTATTTCCACACAAATATAGTCCATTGTCAGAGTGCTGAAGTTAATTTGATCAACATTGGGGACATTTAACTGTTTTGTTCGCTGAAAAGACTTGTTTCATGCTCATTTTCGGGCCATTCAAAAGCAATGATTGGCAGAAAAATAATGTTGCCGTTAACAATTCAAAGCAATTAGTTTCCCATGGGGAGGCAGTGGGCCGCACTGGCCACCACACAGCGATGCTTTGTCATTTTATGGAGGGTCATCAGTCAACTGTCAGCGCGACTCAAAAAGCCCTCCAATCTAAATGTTTCCCTTTAGGCTTTTCCCAGAACAACGGTCTGAAAGAGCAGAGAAAGGCCGGCTAGTTTCCAGCCAATAGACATGTTGAGCTGCAAGAGGGAGGACTGGATAATTGCAGGGGGGATCCTCCTTAAAGCCAGAATGAATTTATTAAAGAGAGTGGTTGGTGTGTGTGCGTGCGTGTGTGTGTTGTCATGCTGATCATGGTTTCCAGTACAACTCCTGTGTCATAAACATGTGTAGTACAATTAATTTTTTTTCTACTGAGTCTACATGTGATCTATAATGACTTTTTCCACTGATTGTGTTTGTTTATAGACCTGAGTGTGTAGTGCCACTGTGTGACTCTGTGCTGCCTTCTCACCCTGGGAGGCCTGCAGGAGCAGAGGTTAATCTTCTCCACTGTCTCTCTGCTCACAGTGGACCTGTTTCTCTCTCTCCCACATACTCACTCACTCACTCACTCACTATGCACTTCTAGTTTACCATAACAATAACTACCTTAACCTACACCTAACTTTACCTGTACCTTTACTCAATGTGTTATTTGTCCTTTTCAGGCTAACAGTATCCATAATGTGGAATTCCCTAACACATCGGAATTTGCTGATTTGCTGCA